CTCAGTTTCATCCTGAGTCATCACCCCCTGTGTGGTAATATTTGTTAAACTTTTCACACTGTTGCTCATTCTTGGATGACTTTTCCAGTAGACTGTAACTTCTTGAGTGTAAAGACCAAGTTTCCCCCCTCATTTAACCTGGTGCCTGGCACATACATAGTATGTGTTTTGTAAATGTTTGCTGAATTAATAAATTAACTTATGCAGTAGTTGAGAATCGACCTATGAACTAGCGGATCATGGTGCGATTCTCGTCGGGCCATATGCCCGGGTTGTGGGCTCAATTCCTAATGTGAGGCATGCAGGAGACAGCTCATCAATGATTATCTCTCATCATTGATGTTTCTATCTCTCCCTTCCTCTCTGAAATCAATAAAAACATATTTTAAAATTTTTAACTTATGCAATAGTACATCAGTATACATTCAATGTACATTCAGTGATTTGTTTATATTTTGTTTTTATTGTTATTAGATCACCCCTGTATTCTGGTACTGCCCATTTTGTACATTGATTTGCTTTTTGGGGGGGAGAAGCAGTCTCTCCATAATTAAATTAGACCATGTAATGTACTAGGTGTACCGGTTAATAATGGCAGATTTTGTAATCAAAGAAACACGATCATTTCAAGAGAGACATCAAAAGTGCTTTATTCAGCCCTAGCTGGTTTGGTTCAGTGGATAGAGCTTCGGCCTGTGGACTGAAAGGTCCCGGGTTCAATTCCGGTCAAGGGCACATGCCTGGGTTGCGGGCTCCATGCAGGAGGCAGCCGATCATTGATTCTCTCTCATCATTGATGTTTCTGTCTCTCTCTCCCTCTTCCTTCTTCTCTGAAATCAATAAAAATATATAGATTTTTAAAAAGTGCTTTATTCAAAGTAATGTCCATTGCTAGCTCCACATTTCCCCCATCTTTCAGGTAATTTGTGGATACTGTCCCAATAGAACTTTTCTTGTTTGAGGCAAACCATTCAGAGACCCAATTTTCCACTTCTTCGTATGTTTTGCAGTGCTGCTCAGAAAGTGCATATGCCATCAATTGGAACAAGTGGTAATCTGAAGGAGCAAGGTCTGGTGAATACAGCGGGTGGGTTAATATTTCCCAGGCAAGATCTTTTAACGTGTCTTTAACTGGTTTTGAAGTGTGTGATGGTGCGTTGTCATGAAGCAAAATTACTTTGCCGTGTCTTCTGGCACATTCTGGTCATTTCACGGTCAAAGCGTGGTTCAAATTAATTATTTGTTGTCATCAGTAGCGATCAGTATTAATGGTTTCACCTGGTTTTAGAAGCTCATAATACACCACATCTTCCTGATCCCACCAAACGCAGAGCATTGTCTTCTTTCCGAAGCGATTTGGCCTTGCATCCAATGTTGATGGTTGACCTGGATCAACCCATGATTTTGTGCGTTTGAGGTTCTCAAAATAAATTCACTTTTCATCGCCAGTCACAATTCGATGCAAAAAAGACTTTCTTTTGTGCCATTGAAGCAACATTTACTGTTGACTTTTTGGTTTTCCATTTGTCTTTCTTTCAGTTGATGTGGCACCCATTTTCCTTCCTTTAAAATCTTTCCCATTGCTTGTAAACAATCAGAAATTGTTTCCTGAGCAACGTCTTACAAGTTGTTTTTGAGTTTGACACGCATCTTCATCCAATAATGCTTGTAATTGTTGGTCTTCAAACTTTTTTGGTTGACCTGGACATTTTTGGCTTTCACATCAAAATCATCACGTTTAAAGCGTTTAAACCAGCGTTCACAAGTATCTTGAGATGGAGCATGTTCACCATAAGTTTCCCGAAGTATACGATAACTTTTTCTTCAAAATAATGAATTAAAACTTCCGGCAAATGCTTTTTTTTTTGGCATGAAATTTGACATTTTTAAGCTTAAAAATATCTATGATGTTAACACCTTCAGCAAATTTGACATATGAAGTTTTGAAGCTTGCTGTCAATACAACAAAATAGCATACATATCAAATCGCAGATATATCAACATGTGTAACTGCATTATTAACTGGTACACCTAAGTACATACATAGTGGATTTTTGCCATGTTCCTTTTTCATTTTGATTTATATTATTAATTCTCTGTCAGTGTATTACATATACTGTCCCAGTTAATAGAAACCTGTAGGCAGTTCAAATAATCACCACCATCAAATTATTCTTACCCTATTGTGACCTTTGTCAGAGTGTATGAGACCCTAGATGCTTTAACTTGGTGACAATTAAGGCTTAGAAAAGTGAGGCTTAAATAACTAGGAATTGTTAAATAACAAAGAGGGATGGTTTTCTGGGTTGTCCATTGTGTTTGGTTCTCAATCCCCAAATTTATTACTAATAGTCATATTTTGGTGATTTAGACATAGTGGTAGTGATGGTTTTTAGCTATCATTTTGAGCTAGCTGGCCTTCAGGTCGGAAGAATCATTAAAGACAATAAAATCCCTGATTATATTTACTAGAATTGCTCAATGGAGAAGGATCTCCATTTAAATGGAAGCTGCCATGGGGAATATCTGAGCGTTCACTTTGTGATTCAGGACTCGTATTTAAAACCTGGGTTTGCTCATTTTTCCTGGACTAGCTTATTTACCACTGTATCCTCGGTGCCTGGAATAGTGCCTGCTAAGGCTTGAAAAATGTAGTAAAGAAGTGCTCTTTGTCTCCTTTGTCCATCTTGTGCCTCTTGATATATTTATTGGTGGACCCACAGACCCTCTATTAGATGTTAATTTCATTTCATTTAGAGGATGATTTTCTACTTCTTTAAAGTGTCCCTTCCGATTGAATTTTGTATATACCAGTACTCTGGATTTTAAGTATAAGATTGTCTCAGATATATTTCCTAAACACAGCAAAAATTCTACCTAGCTATTTTTATACATGATAAGACAAACTTTTTATAAATTGTGGGAGATTTGAAGAATAATTCTTTAAGAAAGCTTGATTTTTCTTTTACCTACATTTACTCTAATTGAACTGATCACAATACATTGATTTTATAGTGTTATAAGTATAAAGAAGGGGCTCTGAAATACTAAGTAATATCTAAAAACTAGGTTAGAGAATTAGATTACTGTGTGAGTACATAAAATCTAGGGTAGTTCATTCAGTTTTTTATTTTCTTTTTTCTCTTTCTCTTTTTTTGTTTTTTTTTTAAGCATGCTTCTAAAGAACACAAAATAAAAATAGTATTAACTTATTTCTTGATTATATGTATTAGTTAAGGGCATTAGATTACTAAATAGTTTATTTACATTGTAAATATCAGCTATTCTAAGATTATTGGTGACTAATATTTAATCTTGTAGGTTACTTCAGGTTGGTTTGGTGTCTTTTGACACTTTATGAAATCATCTGTCATACCTTTTTCAGATTATAGCTTTTTTTGTAAATTAGAATATTTTTTTAAAAAATTAAATTTATTGCAGTGACATTGGTCAATATGAACATACAGGTTTAAGGTGTGGGTTTCTATGTTACAAGATCTGTATATAGCACCATGTGCCCATCACCCAAAGTCAAATCTCTTGTCACCGTCCCCCTTCACCCTCCAACCCCTTCCCTCTGACAACCACCACAGTGCTGTTTGTGTTCACGAGTTTCAGTTTTATATCCCACATATGAGTGAAATCATATGGTTCTTAGCTTTTTCTGACTGACTCATTTCCCTTAGCATAATGTTCTCAAGGTCTATCCATGTTGTTGCAAATGGCACTATTTCATCCTTTCTTATGGCTGAGTAGTAGTAGTCTATCTTATATATGTACCACATCTTTATTATTTTACTTTAAGGGAAAATTAAAATTATTGTCTTCTAGAGAAGTTATATGTTTTGTTTTGTTTTTAATATATTTTTAGTAATTTTAGAGAGTCAGGGAGAGGAAGAGAGAGAAACATCAATGATAAGAGAATCATTGATCAACTGCTTTCTGCACACCCCCAACAGTTGATTGAGCTTGCATCCTGGGCATGTGCCCTGACCAACCAGGAATTGAACCACGACCTAGAGGTTGATGCTTAACCACTGGGCCACACTGGCCAGGCAGAGAAGTTATATGTTAATATTTGAAATTTAATAAAATTAGTATCAAAATCTGGTGGGTGACTGGTAGAGACTGGGTAAATTTAAAAATAGTGCTTCCCTAGCCAGTTTGTCTCAGTGGATAGAGCGTTGGCCTGTGGACAAAAGGGTTAAATTCTGGCCAAGGGCATGTGCCTGGGTTGCAAGTTTGATCCTTCCGGCCCTGGAGGTGCATGCAGAAGGCAACCAATCAACGTGTCTCTCTCACATCAATATTTTTCTCTTTCTTTCTCTCCCCCTCCTTTCTGTTCGCTCTAAAAATCAATGGAAAAATATCCTGGAGTGAGGATTAACAAAAAAACTAAAAAATAAATAAAAATAGTGCTGGAAACTATCCTATATAATAAAAGGCTAATATGCAAATAGACCACACAGTGGAATGACTGATCGCTATGATGCACACTAACCACCAGGGGGCAGATGCTCAACGCAGGAGCTGGCCCCTGGTGGTCAGTGTGCTCCCATAGGGGGAGCGCCACTCAGCCAGAAGCCAGGCTCACAACTGGCAAGCCTGTCCCGCCTCTGCAGCAGCGCTAAGGATGTCCAACTGACAGCTTAGGCCCGCTCCCCTAAGCCATCAGTCGGACATCCCCCGAGGCTCCTGGACTGCTAGAGGGTGCAGGCCAGGCTGAGGATGCACACACACACACACACACACACACACACACACACCCCTCCAGTGCACGAATTTCATGTACCGGGCCTCTAGTTAAAGATAATTTAAAATGCATAAAATACTATATATTTTTGGCATTGATTTTCATAGTAGGTTGAAAATATCACCTACTATTTGTATTAGCATCATAATAAACCTCATCTTTGAAAGTGTGTTGTATTGCAAGTAATAATTTAGAAGTAATTTAAATTCTAAGTGAAAGAAATAATCTTTTTTCTCTTTTTCCTTAGGTGGAATGAATCTTACTTGCTGAATATCTCCTGGTTACTGGTTGAATTCACTTATAAAAGAATCATCTTCTCCTGCGTGGAAGTCACTTAGTGGAATATTTAATTACAAATCCAGGGATTGCAAAGCCTTTTGATTTCCCAGAGGAAGGGGACATACCACTATATCAAATAAGCTTGACATTACAGCCAAAATGGTGCTGTCCCAAAGACAACGAGATGAACTGTAAGTTTCTCTGTGTGTGTGTGTGTGTGTTAAAATATTCTCTCATAAAGGACAAGGTAGTAAATTAAAATACAGCTTTAGGAGATCTATTTTCATATTAAAATTGTTAGGAGTGTTTAAATATTGATGTGGGCATTTGGGTCTGATTTTAAAACTGGGTCGTACTTTGATATAGCACTATTTACTCTTGTGACCTTATTGTCTATAAATTTAAAACAAATCAAGTTAGTTGGGATAGGTTTTATCTCAAGTTTGTCTTAATATGTAATTATGTTCATTTGGAAGATAGGTGCTTCAAAACACTTCTAAATTATTTTGTCTAGATACATGTATTAGAATAGAAAAATGAAAGCTTTTTTGTTGTTGTTACTGCTAATGCCTTTCCTTTGCCTTACGTATTTTTTATCATCCTTTGGCTCTTATAGGATTTGAACTTTATGAGGTGGCTAACGTAATAGTTAATGCAAATGCATTAACTAGATAGGCATGAAAATGATTTGATCATTGCTATATAGGATTTTATAGCATTTTATTTTTTGTAGGTGAAGAATATAGTGGAAAATATTTAGTTTTGTGTTCTAGGCTTTTAAAATTTTCTGTGGCTTTTTAAACTGTATAATTGGGAATAATTTCAAATTTATAGATTAGTACAAAGAATATTTATATACATTTTATCCAAATTCACGTATTGGTAACATTTTGTATAATTTTGCACTCTGTAGCTGTGTGTGTGTGTGTGTGTGTGTTGTGTGTGGGGGGTTGTATAGACAGAGTAAGTTGCATACATCAAGGACCTTTCTCTGAGATACTTTAGTACACAGTTCCTAAGAATAAGGATATTCTTATATAAAACCAAGTAAAGTTAGCAATTTCAGTAAATTTAAAACATTGAAACAATACATTTATTTAACCTATCTTCCATACTGGCATTTTGTCAGTTGACCCAATAATATCCTTTATGGCAATATTTTAATCCTCTCTAGTACACCATCCAGTCCAGGATTAGGTATTGTGGTCAGTTGTCATAAGTGTCATTTAATCTGAAACATTTCCTCAACCTTTCTTGCTTTGAAGACAATTAGATAAAAATATTTTTTTATAATCCTCACCCGAGGATATTTTTCCATTGATTTTTAGAGAGAAAGGAGGAAAGAGAAATATCAATGTGAGAGAAACACATCAATTGGTTGCCTCCTGCAGGCACCCCAACCAGGGCCCAGCCAGGGAGGAGCCTGCAACTGAGGTACATGCCCTTGACTGGAATCGAACCTGGGACCGTTGGGTCTGGAGGCTGATGCTCTGTCCACTGAGCCAAACTGGCTAGGCCTCAACACTTTTATTCTTTCTTCATTTGCTAGTCAGCACTAAGCATTTTACTGTATTCAAGGGATCTTTTTCTCCTTTTGTTGACTTTTCATTATTGGTATGAACTCGTAGGTTCTTATATTTTCAATAGTTTCATCATTCACTACTATACTTACTGTTTTGGTGTGTGAATTGTTCTAGGTTGTCCTCTAGGATAGCGGTCGCCAACCGGTGGTCCGCGGACCACTGGTGCTCCATGAAGTCCGAAAGATTGGCGACCGCTGGTTTAAGAGAAATCTTTGGAGCAGCGATCCGAAAGGTTGGCGACCGCTGCTCTAGGAGACTCTTCTGTTGGCTCTTACATATGCCCCTATCATTTTTTATTGCACTTTCTTACTTTCTGGCATTATAAGATGTTCCAGGCTTGTTGTGTACCAATCTTGCCTTAAACCTAGAATCAACCATTTCTCCAACAAGCCCTGGTTCCTCTTAGTGGGGAATGGTATTAGAGATCAAGATATGAGCATTGCCCTAGCCGGTTTAGCTCAGTGGATAGAGGGCCTGTGGACCAAAGGGTCCTGGATTCGATTCCAGTCAAGGGCACATACCTTGGTTGCAGGCTCCTCCATGGCCCAGACCCTGGATGGGACGCATGTAGGAGGAGACCAATTGATGTGTTTCTCTCACATCAATGTTTCTGTCTGTCTTTCCCTCTCTTCCACTCTTTCTAAAAGATGAGTGGAAAAAATCTTCGTATGAGCATTAAAAATTTTTTTTAATTGCATTTTCAGAATACTTAAAATAAAAAACACACAGAAAGATATGGGCATTAAGTGTACTTATTGCTACTGGGTTGTCTTTGTTTCTACGTCCTTTGAGTAAACAGAACTAGGAAATACATGGATATATAAACATGCACAGACACTTGGTGTATATATATGTACTAAGATTTCTCAGTCTTGGCACTGTTGACAATTTAGGCTAAATAATTCTTTGCTATGGGGCCTGTCATGTACACTGTTGGTTGTTTAGCAACATTCCTGGCCTCTACCACTAGATGCTGCAATCACCAATGTCTCTAGATGTTGCCACTGTCCTCTGGGGGGGATGGGGGCAAAATTTCCTCCAGTTGAGAACTGGTGTATAGATATACACACACACACACACACACACACACACACACACGCACACATATTTATTTTAGAAATCATTAGGCTACACTGATACTTCTAATTCCAGTATATTTTCACAAGTTTTTTTCTTGTCTTTCCCTCTGTAGTACTTATTTTTCTCTTTTTATAGTGAGACCCTGACTCTCAACTCATTTGCTCAGTCCTATAATACTTCTAAAATAGTCTCAGAATTATTATGTTCACACCACTTAAAAAAATAAACCCTGGAAAGGGTTCACAATTTGTACACAGTTTTCCCTCCATCTACCCTGCCCAAGACAGATAGTATATAATCAAATACAAGCAGGTCCTCCAATAAGGTCATTTTGTTCAGAAGCATCTCTTTTCATTACAATGTTGATGAAATGTCATAGGAACTTGACTTTTGTTTTATATCCATTAGCCTATGGTAAAATTGGTTTCATTATCTGTCATTTCATTGCAGTTCCAAAAAACCTATTGATTATGTGAAGTGAGGGCTTACTGTACTATTTTTGCAAATTACTTGGATTAATTTTATTTTGTGTTTTCCCTCTTCATGTGGTTATATTATTCATTTAAAATACATTTGGGTTCATCTGTTCTAGTTTTTCAGTTTTCTGCATCCTTCCCTTCCCATCCTTGTTAACAATATAATATTTTGAATATGCATAAGATTATCCAAAAAGTTATACGCAGAAGTTTTATTCTCTTCAGAATCCCTTCTAAGTTACCCATCCTTACCTCTTATAGGAACCAACCTTATAAGAGAGATATATGTATGTTTTCTGGTTCCTCCTTTCTTAATAAAAAGGTAGCATGCTATTTGTGTTCTTTTGTACTTTTACTCTTTTTCACTTAACATCTGTTGGAACTCACCCCATACCATTGATGTCCTCCTGCTTTTTCTTTTAATAGTTGTGTGTGTGTGTGTGTGTGCATGTGTGTATGATAAAATTGGTCAAGGAGGAAGTAGAAAACTTGTGTGGCTCATTAACTATAGAGGAAATTGTAAGATAGTTACAGACTTGAAATCTAGACAGTTTTCAAATCTAGACTCTAATTATGTTGAGTCTTTAATTACTGGTAACTTTCCAGATTATATGGCCTCTTCCAGAATAGAAAGAGATGGAAAACTTAGGATCTCATTTTATGAAGCTAGAATAACCCTGATAGCAACACTAGGCAAGAGGAAAATAATAAAATATTATAATAAGCTAATTTTAATATGAACTCAGATATAAAGATATTGAATAATATAACAAATTGAAAAGAATCAACAGTTAGAATGATTGAATTTAGTGTGGTGACCAGAAACAAGATGGCATACAATAATGAATTATTTCTGTTATTGGATATGTAGTAGAAAATATTTATTTGCCTTTTTATGGTAAAAAAAGTGAATAATTGAAAGATGACATAAATCTCAAATTATTAATAAAATTAAATACAACCCCATTCAAAATTTAAACAGAATTTTCCATAAATTTGACCGACTTAATTCTAAAATTCATCTGGGAGAGAAAAATAGTTGAAAAAATTTTTTAAAGGATTAATAAGAAAGGAACTGCCAGGCTGGCATAGCTCAGTGGTTGAGCGTTGACCTGTGAACCAGGAGATCATGTTTGATTCCCGGTCAGGGCACATGCCTGGGTTGTGGGCTCAATCTCCAGTGTGGGGCATGCAGGAGACAGCTGGTCAATGATTCTCTCTCATCATTGATGTTTCTCTCTCCCCCTCTCCCTTCCTCTCTGAAATCAATTAAAAAATATTTTTAAAAGAAAGGAAATGATTGTACCAAATATTCAAACATTACTGTAAAGTAATAAATAAAATACTGTGGGGTAGGCAAGTAAAGTTCACATCAATAGAGAAAAGGTGAGCTGTTTGGCAAAGTATTAGTACAAGATTGTACTAAAAATAAACTTGAATCCAGATGAAACTTTTTTTTAATCTTTATTGTTGAAAGTATTACATATGTCCTTCCCTTTACCTCCATTGACCCTTTCTAGCCCACCTTCACCCCAGTCCCTCGCCACCCCACTGTGTGTCCATGGGTTGTGCATAAATGCATACAAGGTCTTTGGTTGATTACCTTCCACCCACACACCCTCCCCGGCCTTCCCTCTAAGATTCCGCACTCTGTTCCATGCTCCCATGTCTCTGGATCCACTTCGTTCATCAGTTTATTTTGTTACTTAGATTCCACATATGAGTGAGATCATGTGATATTTGTCTTTCTCTGACTGACGTATTTCACTTAGCATGATATTTTCCAGGTCCTTCCATGCTGCCTCAAAGGGTAAGAGATTCTTTTTTACTGCTACGTAGTATTCCATGGTATAAATGTACCACAGCTTTTTTATCCACTCATCTACGGATGGGCACTTGGGCTGTTTCCAGATCTTAGCTATTGTAAATTGTGCTGCTATGAACATAGGTGTGCATACATTCTTTCTGATTGGTATTTTGGGTTTCTTAGGATATATTCCTGGAAGTGGGATCACTGGGTCAAATGGCAGTTCCGTATTTAATTTTTGTACT